CGGAATCCATTCCGCCAAGTCCGCATCCGTCAAGATCCGAGGCGCCTCATGGAGATGAAAGCACAGCTCAGCCCAAGTACAGAATGCGAAGGCCGGCACCACCATCCGTTGAAGAGGAGAGAAAGATCAAGCCGTTCTCGAAGAAGCCCATCACATTCATGTTCCTTGCAACCTATGGAAGTCAGCTCTACAGCATCATGGAGCAAGGGCTCAAATCTGGGAAGTCCCAGTCAAACCCTTCGGGGAGAATGCACGTTCACATGGCATGCATCGATGACGTCATCCTCGAAGACGACGATTCAGAAACCGCATTGACCCATGTGCCAGCAGGAAGAGATGCGTTGCTGATCCTTGCATTTCTCAAGGACCAAGACTATGGCATCCGCCTTTCCGAAGAGAGAACAGCGTTGACAGACAAAACCATCGAGGCAAGAAACATTGTTGCAGCATTCGAACCTGATGGCAGCCTCATGGCGAGCAACAAGTGGATCATGAAGAAGCACCTCGATTATGAAGACTTCGAGATGTATGACACCAAGATCCGCGAATTCGCCGATGCCTTCTTCAAGTATGTGAATTCCACCAAGCACAACAAGGAAAAAGATACCTCCTCAGAGACCAAGAAGAGACGGCATTCCACCGATCAGGACTCCACCGAAGGAGAAATGATGGAACCCTCCGGGGAAAGATCCGTCAAGCCCAAGGTCATCGTGGAATATCACAATCCAGAGAACCTAGAAGAGTTCATCCAAGAACTCAAGGGAACCTATCTCGAAATAGATATGAACAAAAAGGACGCAGAGGAAGAGCTCGCGGGGATCAAGGAAGAACTCAAACGCTTCATGAACCAGTTCAACAAAGATCCGAAAGGAGCTCATCCCAAGTTGACAGAGTGCGAGAGAGCATCATTGGCACATGTCGATCCTGATGTCAATCTCGGTGAAGAAGAATTCTACTTCCCTCATCGAGGAGAATGTCCCACCATTGATGAGTACAAGCAAGCTCAACCAGGATCCGGATATCCGATCAAGCTGCCGCTTGGACTGAAGAAGCTAAGGTCACAAGATGACCCGAAAATCATCCGAGCCTATGCCGATATCCTGGGATCGCTGATGCAGCCGACTGACCGTCCTTCCGTGGACTATCTCAACATGCATGAGTTCACCTCATCCATAGGGATCAACATCCTTACCCTGAACCATGGAAACCTCACAAGGAATCCAAAGTTGGACAACAGGGAGGTGTACAACATGCCGATGAAGGATCGACCGATCGTCAAGATGATGATGCAGAACAGTGCACACATCTTATGCCCGAATGAGGCAGACGCATTCTTCAGTCCGAATGATGAGAAATCCAGGGAGCTCATCAAGACGTTCATCCGATACGGTTACAAGGGCATTGTGATCAAACAATGGTCATCCAGACCGATCGCATGCTTTGTCCGCGGCGGACCCTCTGCACGAGTGGAACTTCTGGCAAGACACATTTCCACCAGGAGCCAGAATTGGGGAACCACATTCGGAATGTTCAGATGTTTCTTCGGAACCAAAGAAGATGGCACTGATCCCGAATACGAAATTCCGACGTCGTTCTCCACATCGAGCAGAGTGATGAGTTTCGTGGCATGATCCCGAAATCATCCGACAAATCATACTACGAGTATGATGACCGCCACATCACGAGGGCAGACTTGCCATTCGCGACCATTGGAGTTTTCCACATCCATCCTTCACTTAGTCATGGAGCAGCAAAAGAAGATCTTCAGAACGAAATCATGCCGCTCGTGACCTTGTACCGATGCGATGCGATCACCGGAGACGCCAACAAATCGGCGAACACCTACAGCAAACTCCAGCATGTCTACAATCCAACCAACGGTCTCGTGAACATCCTCATGAGAGCATATCAGAGATTGTGGAATGCGACGAAGAATTTGCCACTCGTGCCCAGAATGGAGTATACAGTGGAGACTTCGTGCACCCTGAAATCCATTGTCCGTCATCACCTGTACATGAAATGCGGATCAGGTTTTGATCGAACATTCCCAGATGTGATGATGACTATCGTATTTGGATGGGGCAAAACGAACATCCAGCAGGACTTCCGGAAAATCGAGATGAACAATATGGATGATGAACAACTGGAATTCATGCGGAACCATCCGAACAAGGCCATTTTCGATTACCAGGTCTCATCCGCAGAGCGCTACAAGCACGTGAGCAATGAAATGTTCATGAACGGCTCGCAGGACTCCGACTCCCACAGTCCTCTCATGGTTTACATCCGCAGCAGATCTGCAACCAGCAAACGCAGCTCTGAGAGATACCAGGATTATGTCAAGAAGAGACAATCCTGGACCACGCAGGAGTACAAGGACTACAACAAGCAGTGGGGATATCAGAAGCAGTGGAAGGACTACAGCAGTTCGACCTGGAATGATTATGGAGACCATGGCAGTCAATCCGACAGCAGTCGCCGATGGTATCGTCGATCCGACGGACCATGAAGATACGTTCAGCACCACGAGCGATCCAGATGATTGATCCTCCTCGTCTACAAGACTATACCATGAGTGAGTGATCAGTAGTTTCACAATTGTTCCGCGTGTACATAGCGTTGTACATCACCCTTTGATACAATTAGGTATCCAAAAAGAAGCGTACATAGTGTTTCCCATTTCGAAGGCCAAGACATTTCATCCAGCAGAAAAAGGATGAATCCGGCTCTTTTAATCACATGGCTACGGCACACATTAAGGCTACGGTCAAAGGCCATGAAGCCAATAGTATTTCATACTTTGTGCTGGAGATCAAAAGAAATTTATGTCTGTTTTGTGTTTCGTTTCGCAGACTATTGATCTCCCGCAACATTTGGCTCAAGGCCGCTTTTGCATAATCACGACCATTCGAGCGTGAGGACAAAGAGCCATTGCAGGCCGCTTACAGGATTATCCATCAGACAATCCACCAGGGACAATCCATCCTCCAATCATCCATTATTGGCATACTGGACTCTCTCCGGAATAGATTCAGGGACCAACAACAACGACCTCAACTACCACAGGGTTCCAGTTCCCTCCGGGGATAGGCACCTGGGGCAGTGGGCCTCACCGCCCCCCCCCTCCAAAAACCTATGTAATAGACGTCGGGCGGGCGGGGGGTTAAGGGGGGGGGTTTTCCTCTATTCCGACACGCCGAACAATGTCGGCGGACTTTGACAAGCCTAGTACGCGAAGTACGGGTTTCCAGCTCCAGCTGGAAATTCGCGACTTTGTTGTACAAGTCTAGTACGCGAAGCACGGGTACGCGAAGTCCAGCTCTATATAGCTGGAAATCACAACCTTGTAATACAAGCCTAGCGCACGAAGTACAGGTTCCCAGCCCTAGCTGGAAAATCGTAACTTTGACAAGTCTAGTACGCGAAGTACGGGTTTCCAGCTCCAGCTGGAAAATCGCGACTTTGCTGTACAAGTCTAGTGCGCGAAGCACAGGTACGCGAAGTCCAGCTCTAGCTGGAAATCACAACCTTGTAAACACAAGCCTAGCGCACGAAGTACAGGTTTCCAGCCCTAGCTGGAAAATCGTAACTTTGACAAGTCTAGTGCGCGAAGTACGGGTTTCCAGCTCCAGCTGGAAAATCGCGAAATTGTAGTACAAGTCTAGTACGCGAAGCACAGGTACGCGAAGTCCAGCTCTAGCTGGAAATCACAACCTTGTAATACAAGCCCAGCGCACGAAGCACAGGTTTCCAGCACTAGCTGGAAAATCGTAACTTTGACAAGTCTAGTGCGCGAAGTACGGGTTTCCAGCTCCAGCTGGAAAATCGTAACTTTGACAAGTCTAGTACGCGAAGTACGGGTTTCCAGCTCTAGCTGGAAATCACAACCTTGTAGTACAAGTCTAGCACGCGAAGCACAGGTACGCGAAGTCCAGCTCTAGCTGAAAATCACAACCTTGTAATACAAGCCTATAGCGCACGAAGTACAGGTTTCCAGCCCTGGCTGGAAAATCGTAACTTGGACAAGTCTAGTACGCGAAGTACGGGTTTCCAGCTCCAGCTGGAAAATCGCGACTTTGTTGTACAAGTCTAGTACGCGAAGCACAGGTACGCGAAGTCCAGTTCTAGCTGGAAATCACAACCTTGTAATACAAGCCTAGCGCACGAAGTACAGGTTTCCAGCCCTAGCTGGAAAATCGTAACTTTGACCAGTCTAGTACGCGAAGTACGGGTTTCCAGCTCCAGCTGGAAAATCGCGACTTTGCTGTACAAGTCTAGTACGCGAAGCACAGGTACGCGAAGTCCAGCTCTAGCTGGAAATCACAACCTTGTAATACAAGCCTAGCGCACGAAGTACAGGTTTCCAGCCCTGGCTGGAAAATCGTAACTTTGACAAGTCTAGTACGCGAAGTACGGGTTTCCAGCTCCAGCAGGAAAATCGCGACTTTGTTGTACAAGTCTAGTACGCGAAGCACAGGTACGCGAAGTCCAGCTCTAGCTGGAAATCACAACCTTGTAGTGCAAGCCTAGCGCACGAAGTACAGGTTTCCAGCCCTAGCTGGAAAATCGTAACTTTGACAAGTCTAGTACGCGAAGTACGGGTTTCCAGCTCCAGCTGGAAATCGTAACTTTGACAAGTCTAGTACGCAAAGTACGGGTTTCTATCTCTAGCTGGAAAATCGTCACTTTGTAGTAAGGGAATGTCAGCCTGCAGGAAGAATGGATTAGTTTTGCGCCGAGTAGCATCATTTATTTAGATGCTGATGTGCCAAACATGTAATGTTCGCCGGTGTCACATGCATTGGCATTCCGCTCTGTGTCGTGCCAACCCATGTTATTTACTGCAGATATATCATCGCATGGCAAGATGCTCTAAGCTAGTCTCCCCTCAAATCATGGTCTACCAACTTATGTGACGCACACATATTATGTGACTTTCCAAAAGCACATCGCTCTTCTGCTATCGCGCCCAGTCGTATCCTTTCACATTAGATCACGCCATGTACATCGTGTTATGATGCAAAGTCACTTGCAACACAGGCGTCCTTTTGAAGGGCACAGCTGCTTGGGACGACCTGGCTAGCCTCCGGCCTTTCGTGGGATTGCCGCGTTCGACCCACGCAGGCTGTGCAGCTGGGGACGGCGCAGGCGTACGCAGCGCTGCCCGCCCAAGAGCTCCACCAAGAACTGCCCCTGCCATTTGCCCCCGAGCTCCACGGGGAGTCGCCGGAAGTACAGGCAGCGAGTGCAGTTCGGATTTGACGCAATGATAATCGCAAGCTGTCGGCGTAGCCTAAAAGCTAAATATTGTTTATGTTGTACTTTCTGATCAGCGTTCGTCGATTTAGCTTTCGGAGCTTGCCCCTTGTTTGAGGTCCATCTTCCTGCATTTTGCTGAATGGCATAGTGGATCCTTGACATTGGCAAACAACTGAAGTGTCTTCCCCTAATGTGTCTTGGCATTGGACAACGCATTGACCTGTAGTAAACGACGCAAATTGGCATGACCCGCTGCGGCATGTCAATGCTTGCCGTGTTTTTTGTTTTGTTTTGTTTTTCGTGACAAAACATCCCACCTAGATTGAATGGTGCAACGCTGGCGCACCGCCACGCTTCATGGTACAGACTGAGTGTCTACATAGTTTGTTCAGTGCTTCATTTGTTGAGGTTTGGTTCCCTTTGTTTCATGATGGTAAGACCAAACAAGGGCTCCCCTCTGTCTTTCAGGCTCCTCGGCATGAGTCCAACGTAAATGTTCTTAAGGTTTCATTTGTGAGTCGCTTTTGTTGCTAGGGGTAAAATGAGCTCGTCGATGATGAAGGCCCAGTTACATTCTTCCGGAATGCGTCCACATCGAAATGTTGTTTTTGCGTTTCCTTTAAGTATGTCTGGGGAGGGGGTTGGCCCAGAGGGAAGTTGTCAGCTGCGAAAAGTCTGTTACCTGCAACCTGCAAGGGTCTGGGTTCACCGGCCCTTTTCTTGGAAGCCCTCCCCTCAAAATCACCAGAATGGTTCACTTGAGTTTGCCGGGTATTTACCCCGCAGTGCGTATTTTTGTTTGCGTGTGCTGGGTAACTCAGTTGGGGCTGGGTCCACGAAGCCCAGGCCGAGTCGGACGAAGCGGCACCCAAGCTGCCGAGCACAGAGGATGCGGAGGCTGGAGAGTTGTCAAACAAACCATGAAGTAGGTGGAGAGTCGGGTTGAAATAAGTATGTCCTCATGGATCGCCAAAGACACCCCCAAACACAATGTGTCCAAAGCTCCGGCGGGCTTCGGCCAGGACTCTGCAAGCCTCTTGGATCGAATGTTTGCAGCAAAGCGTGTCCTTCTGGAGCCATTTGTTTGGCATCTCCAAGGTTATTTCTTCAGGGCAGACTGAGTATGCTTTGAGGAGTCTGAAAATATACATGTTTTTGGTGTACAGTTGCTGAACAGCAACCAAAAACCGCGTGTTTGGAGATGCCCTCGTGAAGAGTTGTGTTGCGTTTGAGAGCTGGCGCCCTTTTTGAGGCCTGCAGGAACTGAAGGGAAACGTACGGGGGAACAAGCACATTGACCTGGCTTTGCGTAATCGGTTTCTAAGGGAAACGGTCGTGACTGGCAAATCTGTTTTTCCCAGCTGAAAGCGTCCTTGCCCAGATAAGCCCCAAAGTGGTCCGGAGCAGCGAGGTAGGGTTCCGGGAGCAGTTCCTTAAGGTTCGGAACGTTCCAAGGGTTGCATGGAGCGGTTGCTGTGTAGGGGTGTGGATGTTTCGGAGGCTTTCATGAGGCAGTTGCTTTATTGGGTTCCTGCTGGTTTGGGGATCTGACGGGTTTCGAAGAGTTTCCAGGGTGCTGTGGAGTGGTTGTTGGATTGTCCGGAGGGGTTTACAGCGTGGAGCCGCTGCGGGCTAAGATTCCCGAAGGGTTCCGGTGGTTGCTGTTGGGGATACCACCTGGGCGTATTTGAGTGGCACCCAAGTTTTGATGAGTCGATTCCAAACTACGGGGCACCTTCAGTTTGAATACTGGAAGAGATGGCTGGCGGATCTGGCATTCATGGCTTTTATGTGCCACGATCCAAGGAAAGAGCTCTGAGACGAAGCTGGACGAAGTTGTCTTCAAGATGCCGAGCGATAAAGACGCATGGCTTGAGGATTCGACCTTGCTTGGTGTGTGCTGATTAGTGCAAGGGTGACAAATCGTGCAAGTCAGGACAGAGACGAATAGTTCATGATTGTTTGATGTTAGGTTACACCTTACTTTGGATTAAATGTTTGACCATGACCCAAGTTCATCTTGGAAAGCTGCCCCCAAACCCCCAAGACACCAATCCTAACCGCCAATTCTGGGTACGCCCCTACAAACTAACATGTAGCCTGACCGAAGATCCCTGGAAGACAACTGTCCTCCAAAAGTGTCCTCCCCCACTTCGGTGGGTCCCATGTTAGTTGGTGGGTGGGCAAGGTGAAGTTGGCAAGGACATTCCTTGGAGTACCTACCACACCAAGCAGCACTGAGGTCGTTCTCTTACAGCTGAACGGCAACCACGTGCGGCTACTCGTGGACGGGGACCTACAGCTGGAGCAGGTGTCACCAGTTTTGGGCATGGGTTTGGCAGGGGTGGCTTATGTGTCGTCAACTTTAAGTTTGTAAAGATGCACCCGAGAAGTGCGTGGGGAACGGCCTTTGTAGCTTTTTTCGGGCAGTGTATCATGAATTCCTTTCCACTCGGTGTGTGCTGATATTGCAGGTCCTTGTGCATGCTGGGAGCTGCCTTGTGTTTTCCATGTTTTTTGCAGTAGCACCACTTCGGACAGACCTTCAAGCATGTCGCACCGTCAAGATCCGGCACTAAAATGCACTAAAGCTCAGGCTCTGCAAACTCAAGCACATGCTCAGCATGTCTCAAGGAAATTGAGCAGCGGCAGACGCTGTCGCCCTCCGCCAGCGTCTCCATTCGCGTAGGGCCAGAAACGGCCAAGTCAAGGGCAGTTGGAGAGCCGCCGAAGGGGGCAAGCCCCTCTTAGCCCAGGCTGCAAGGATCCCGCGCAGTGCTAAGCCTTGGGTGGTCTCTGGGGGGTCCCTGATGATTATGTTTGTCCTCCTGATAAATCCGAGTACGACATTTGTCCACCCAGCCCCCAAAGCTTGACAAGTTGATCGGTTTGAGGGTCGATCTTGAAGCTCTCAAGACTCGCCAGTCCATGAGAGGTTTTTTTTGGGGGAAAAGGTTTTTGTCCACTTCCATGATTGAAGGAAGAAGGGATAGTTCCCTTGTTCGATGATCGCCTCAGTTGTTGGTTGCCAATTTTCCGCTACCAGAGACCCTTTGGTGGGTTCCATGTTGGTGGGAGGGGTGACATCCAATTCGGCGCCACACTCATTGCATGATGACAACAGGATCGTTTTCAGAAAACAATTGGCAACTTGTCCAACTCCAGTTTCATCCCAGCAAGAGCGACACCCATGGGCCCATGGATTCTTTGCTCTCAGGTCAGCCACAATCAAAACCGATTCCAAAGGATAGTAAGGGCCAGTCCCAACCAGAACTAGGTTCGGGTATCCCTTTGGTCTCTCTTTCAATCACCAAAAGGAGTACTCTCCATCTAATTATTATGGAAATCGATAGCAGGGATTTTGCTGGGAAAAACCTTTTGTCCACTTCCATGATTGAAGGAAGAAGGGATAGTTCCCTTGTTCGATGATCGCCTCAGTCTGTTGTTGGTTGCCAATGTTCCGCTACTAGAGACCCTTTGGTGGGTTCCATGTTGGTGGGAGGGGTGACATCCAATTCGGCGCCGCACTCATCGCATGATGACAACAGGATCGTTTTCAGAAAACAATTGGCAACTTGTCCAACTCCAGTTTCATCCCAGCAAGAGCGACACCCATGGGCCCATGGATTCTTTGCTCTCAGGTCAGCCACAATCAAAACCGATTCCAAAGGATAGTAAGGGCCAGTCCCAACCAGAACTAGGTTCGGGTATCCCTTTGGTCTCTCTTTCAATCACCAAAAGGAGTACTCTCCATCTAATTATTATGGAATTCGATAGCAGGGATTTTGCTGGGAAAAACCTTTTGTCCACTTCCATGATTGAAGGAAGAAGGGATAGTTCCCTTGTTCGATGATCGCCTCAGTCTGTTGTTGGTTGCCAATGTTCCGCTACTAGAGACCCTTTGGTGGGTTCCATGTTGGTGGGATGGGTGACATCCAATTCGGCGCCGCACTCATCGCATGATGACAACAGGATCGTTTTCAGAAAACAATTGGCAACTTGTCCAACTCCAGTTTCATCCCAGCAAGAGCGACACCCATGGGCCCATGGATTCTTTGCTCTCAGGTCAGCCACAATCAAAACCGATTCCAAAGGATAGTAAGGGCCAGTCCCAACCAGAACTAGGTTCGGGTATCCCTTTGGTCTCTCTTTCAATCACCAAAAGGAGTACTCTCCATCTAATTATTATGGAAATCGATAGCAGGGATTTTGCTGGGAAAAAGCCTTTTGTCCACTTCCATGATTGAAGGAAGAACGGATAGTTCCCTTGTTCGATGATAGCCTCAGTTGTTGGTTGCCAATTTTCCTCTACTAGAGACCCTTTGGTGGGTTCGGTTCCACGCCGGCGGGAGGGGTGACATCCAAAAAGGAGCCACACTCATTGCATGATGACAAAAGGATCGTTTTCAGAGAACTAATGGCAACTTGTCCACTTCCAGTCCCATCCTAGCAGGAACGACACCCACGGGCCCATGGATTATTTGCTCTCAGTCAGCCACAATCAAAGCCGATTCCGGGGGATGAAGGATAGCAAGGGACAGTCCCAACCATAACTAGGTTCGGGCATCCGCCCTTTTGGATCTTTACCATGGGTTTTGGGCAGACCACTTTGATACCAGGTTTTGAGTATGCCAATCAAAGCAGGGTAGATTAAGGATACGGATTCTACAATGGTTGGGTAGACCCTCTCAGTACCAGGTTTTGATTGCTCAGGTGAAGCTCTTTGAGATCGATGTGGCGCAACGCCGGTACCAGGCCGACTCCTGGCAGGGGAAGTTCCAGGATGAGGAAGACGTGCCGAAGATCCAGGAGCAGGCGTGGTGCGTGGAATGATTCGCCGTGGAATGTGGAATGGTTCGTCCCGTTGTGGTTGGGTCATGCTGGCAGCATATTGGTTCTGTTTATGGGGAGGGGGTTCTCAAAGTCAGAAACTGGAATTGGTTGCTTCTCTTCATGACTTTGATAATGGTGAAATACTGGGGGCAGTCTTTGTTGAAGGAAATGCGCAATGTTCTGTACCCAGGAAATCCCCGACAAAGTGGGAACGGCTCCACACGCAAGGATGATGTTCCATGACTTTAGTCACGCGAAGCTTCACAACCAGTTTTGGCCAATGCACTCCGTAAGACAGTTTAAGAGAAAATATCGGGAACATCCAAACGGCTGCATGTAGGCGCTGAATGTTTCGAGCTGCCAACACTGCTGGGAATTATTTGGAAGGGAAACCAAAGGAACATTTAAGTCCTAGACTATCCAAAACATGGTTTTCTCAGGTTCTGAGAAGCGCAGTGGCACAGACGTGGGCTAGAAAGTATCGGTGAACCTCTGAAAGATGAGGCCTCCACGGGTTGGTCGCTTTTCTTTGGTTTCCCGAGAACAATTGTATAGCCTATGGGAGATGAAAGCCTTTTGGAACTTCGACGTCTGGCGCGGTTTTCTGGCGGACCCCCGGATTTGTGTTGTTCCATTCGTTCGTCAGGCGGAAAGGCTCTTCGACCGAGCTGCCAAAGCATTGCTCAAGCTGCCGGCAGGGAGCTCGGTACAGGCACACGATTTGGGGCCATCCGATTCCATTCCCCGGGGGAGGACTCACTCACGGCTTTCTTTGAGTTTTGAGTGTGATTTTGTTCGGGATGTGTGAGCAGATCTGAGCCTCCTCCTGGCTTCAGGCTGGTGCTTGTGTGTTTGACGTGTTGCTAGCGAGTCGGTTGGGCAACGCATAGGTAAACCGGATGCGTCGAAGATTCCAATCTGATGCCTCTCTCTTGTAGAGGGGGTCCCCAACCCCTGCTATAATGCAGCCACAGAGGCTCTCACGCTCGTCAGACCAGGAAACGCCATCGTCGCAGCAGATTTTCGGCTTCCAAAACGCAGGCACAAGGCACGTGGAGCCGCAGAAATCACGACTCAAGATTCTTGCAAAAACGGCTGTAGTTACACTTCTGCAAGCCTCGCCTTTGGAGGGTTCCCCCCCCCCCAAAAAAAAAGGGAACCAAAAAAGGGAACCTAAGCCAGCCAAAGCCAACCAAAGCCAACCAAAGCCAACCAAAGCCAACCAAAGCCAACCAAAGCCAACCAAAGCCAACCAAAGCCAACCAAAGCCAGCCAAAGCCAACCAAAGCCAACCAAAGCCAACCAAAGCCAACCAAAGCCAACCAAAGCCAACCAAAGCCAAAGCCAAACCCAAAGCCAGCCAAAGCCAACCAAAGCCAACCAAAGCCAACCAAAGCCAGCCAAAGCCAAAAAAGGGTTCTTTTAGGGGGCGAGGCTTGCAGAAGTGCAACTACAGCCGTTTTTGCCTGCGCATCTTGAGTCGTGATTTCTGCGGCTCCACGTGCCTTGTGCCTGCGTTTTGGAAGCCGAAAATCTGCTGCGACGATGGCGTTTCCTGGTCTGACGAGCGTGAGAGCCTCTGTGGCTGCATTATAGCAGGGGTTGGGGACCCCCTCTACAAGAGAGAGTTTTGACAAGCCCTCCGGCCATCTCCGTTTTCCTCGTCGGTATCCCCCCCAAAAAAAGGGGGGGACACCGACTCGCAAAGCCTCCGATGGCCGTCGGGAGCGCTGCCGGCGTTCCTGCTCCGGAAAAAAGGTCGTGACTTTTTGGTCGCTACCTCTTGGATTCCCAGCGCTTGCGTGCCGGCAGCCCCCCCCCCCCCCGCGCCCGCCCTCACGCTCGACACGCAGGGGTGGATCGGTTGGTCCGATTGGACCGGTCCACCGGGGAGCCAGGTGACAGGTGACAAGATTTGTCACCCGTGACACGGTGACAAGATTTGTCACCCTCCGGCTGCCCCCCCTGGATGACCGATCCGGTCCGACCAACTGATCCACACCTGCGCGCCGAAGGGAGGATGGCCGCCGGCCGCCATCTGCACAGCCTCTGTTGCAGGCGAGGATAGCCGCCGTTGCAGGCGAGAGCCGCGGCGAGGAGAGCCGCCGTGACAGGCGAGACCCTAGAGCCGCCGTTGCAGGCGAGACCATTGAGCCGCCGTCACAGGCGAGAGGCGAGAGCCGCCGGCGGAACCGCACACACCCAGCCGCCGAGAATCAGGAGACCCCCTAGCGGAAGTATGACAAAGTTGACAAAGTTGACAAAGTTGACGGGGTCTACCAAGCCCTGGGGGGGACGGAACCCCACTTGATGTGTATAGTGTATAGTGTATAGCCCGGGTCCATGGCTTCCCGCCGCCGCGCGACGACTCTGGCTACCCTCGGGAACGCAGCGCGCCGCAGCCGAGTCTCCCCGGGAGTCGCCCGAGAATCGGAGCCGCCGTCACAGGCGAGGGGAAGATCCACCGGACGCTTTTGAACCATGCTCTACTCGCGGAAATGACAAGCTGGCGCCGGCCGCCTGAGCCTCCGCAGCCTGGATTCCCAGCGCTTGCGTGCCGGCAGCCCCCCCCCGCGCCCGCCCTCAAGCTCGACACGCAGGGGTGGATCGGTTGGTCCGATTGGACCGGTCCACCGGGGAGCCAGGTGACAGGTGACAAGATTTGTCACCCTCCGGCTGCCCCCCCCCCTGGATGACCGATCCGGTCCGACCAACTGATCCACACCTGCGCGCCGAAGGGAGGGTGCCCGGGAACCGGAGCGTGGCCGGTCGCCCCCGGGCCCCGGCCGACTGCTGGCCCGCTAGCGCTCCCGCAGTGCCCCGGGCCCCGGCCGACTGCTCGCCCTTGCAAGGCCCCCGCGGAGGCGCTCGCTAATGTTCAGTCTCCGAGACTGAACTTCCGGACATCGTTGTCGGGCAGAGTGGCCTAGGCCTCCAGCTGCCCGTCGGCGCGCTCCGCCAGCTCTCGGCCGCTTCTGCGCCAGCGAGTGGTCTTGCGCGTCCCCCAAGTGACCCGGCCCTCTGTGGGCCAGCCCCACAATTGACCCGGCCCTCTGTGGGCCAGCCCCACAATCGAATTTCAGCCACGGCGAGCAGCTTTGCAGCAGTTGGGCCGCTGCGCGCCAGCAAGCTCGCAAGCGGCCGGGTCGCCGGTCTGGAAGGCCGCGAAGAGGTCCAGCGAGCGCTCCAGTAAACTACGCAGGCCGGGGGCATCGAGCTCCAAACGCACCTCCTCAGGGTTGTCGGAAAACCGACGGCCCTGAGGAGGTTTCCAAAGCGGAAGTACTCCGAGATCCAGGAGACCCCCCTTAGCGGAAGTACGACAAAGTTGACAAAGTTGACAAAGTTGACGGGGTCTACCGAGCCCTGGGTGGAACGGAACCCCACTTGATGTGTATAGTGTATGTATAGCCCGGGTCCATGGCTTCCCGCCGCCGCGCCGACTCTGGCTACCCTCGGGAACGCGGCGCGGTCGCAGCTCGCGGCGGCTGTAAAAAGGCATGTACTGGCGCTCGCGCGAGTCGTCAAGCCCCTCAGCGCGCGAGTCGTCCTCAGAAAGGCCTCGAAGCCCCCGAGCCAGCTGCCCCCGCCCGCCCAGCTGGTTCGAGCTGGCGGTATGCGCGCTCGAGTGCTGCTTCCAACGCTCGCGAGCTCACGCGCAGCGGGACACGGCGCGCACGGGCTCGGACCAGTGCTCGGCAGGCGCTCCGCAGGCGACCGGATGTGTTTCCTATGCCGTCTGGCGCTCCTTAGGGATGCGCCAGTAAGACAAAGCCATGGGAAGAATCAAGCTCTTCCCCACTCCGGAGTACACCTCAAAACAGCCCAGCGACCCGGTCGTGCCGAAGGTGCCGTGCACCGGCATCTTTTTGGGCCCGTCGAAAAGCGGAAAGACCGTAGCGCCGATTAGCCTGATCCTTGAGCATCGAACGGATATACGTCTTCAGCCCCTCGGTGGGCATTGACGACGCCTGGAAAAGTACATCAAAGAGGACCTGGGCGTGAACGCGGAGCGCGAGCAAGCGTGGTGGGACGAGTGGGACGAGACCGCCTTGCGGCGCATCATCCAGCAGCAGCGCAAGATCACCGAAGCCAGCAAGAAGCTGGAGATGAAGCGCCTCTACCAGGTGCTGGTCGTGATGGACGACTTCGCGGACACGCCGCACCTGCACAAGCCCCACGGAGCGCTGGACACGCTTTTTATCCGCGGCCGGCACCTGCAGATCAGCACTTGGGTCAGCAGCCAAAAGCTGCGGCTCATCAGCGCGGCCGTGCGGGTCAACATGCAGTTCCTCTGCTGCTGGCGCCTCCGCAACCAGCACGAGCTGGACGCCATCCTCGAGGAGCTTGCCGAAAGACCAGCTGCTGCGCGTCTACGAGCAAGCCACCAGGGAGCCTTACAGCTTCCTCTACGTCTACTACCTGAACCCCAACAACGAGATGTTCCACGTGCGCTTCGCGCACCGTTTCGCGCTGGAGAAAGGCGATCATGGGAGCGGCCCTGACGTTCCTGGGCCAGAAATTATTCGCCAGCTCGACGCTGATCAACGCGAGGTGTGAGAACATATCCTGCTGCACCTCCGTTCGCCCCGGGACCGTCCAGTCGCCCGTCCGCATTCGCCGAACCAGCGCGGGGTGGGGCTTCCGAAGGAAACGAATGACGACCATCTAAGTCGACTCCCGCAAGCGGGTGGCCGGCGCCGACAGCGAGTTCGAGGTCGACCTGGGCGAGTCCCTGCACCTGCAGAGCGACACCAGGCTGGCCATCTATACAAGATACGAATCACCGACAGCTTCCTTTCGACCGACCGGGGTCGCTACTTGTACTGGGTGGACGCGGCGCTCGGCACGCTGAACTGGGCGCTGCTGCCCGAGGGCGCTTACACGGGCGCCCGGCTCGCCGCCTGGATCGGCTCCAACTTTGCGGCCGCCACGTATAGCGAGACCACGAACAGCCTGAGCGTTGCCTACGACGGCAACCGCCTCATCCTGAACGACCTGGAGCTGAGCCAGCAGTTCCCCGACGCGGGCGACTACCCCAACTCGCCGCCGGCGTCCCCCAGCAGGCCGTTCAGCATCGACCACATGCTAGGCCCCAGCTTCGTCTCAGGCGGGCAGCAGGTCTTCGAATTCGTGCTCATGAATTGCTACAACGAGCTCTACCTGCGCTGCAGCTGGCCAACGCCAACCGCGTGCTGGGAAACCTGGGCAACGACATCCTGTCCAAGATCACGCTGAAATCGGGCGTATTACCGTGGAGGCGGGCTCCGACGACGGGCACTTCATGGCCCTGAGGGGCCCCATCACGCTGCGGCACCTGCGCTTCCGCCTGACTGACCTGGACGGGCAGGTCGTCCGACTGCGGGGGTCTTCCTTGTCGTTTGTGCTGTACTTGGATCATGTCTAAGGAAAAAAGCATGGAGAACACCGAGCCGGCGGTCGAGCCTGCGCCCGAGCCAGCGCCCGAGCCCGAGCCCGCGCCCGAGCCTGCGCCCGAGCCCGCGCCCCCGCCGCCCGAGGCAGCCGCTCCGAAGCGCCGCGGCAGGCCGCCGGGCAGCAAAAACAAGCCCAAGCCGGCCACCGAAGACATCCCCGTGGTGCCCGCCGCCGCCGCGCCCCCGAAGCGGACTCCCAAGGCCAAGCCGGCGCCCGAGGCGGCCCAGCCAGCGCCGCAGCCCGAGCCGCAGCTCACTCGCGAGCAGCAGCGCGCGC